CAAAACCACCTCAAAGTTATTCTTTCTGATCGATCTATTCAAAAGTCCGTAATAAAATAACACAAAGCTATTCTTTCCGTTCGATCTATCCTAGAGTTCGTAGTAGAATAACACCTTAAGACACAAATCAACCAAAACCCTAATGCCACCTAGATACTCCAATGTCACCTCAAATATCTGTGGGTATGATTATACGATATGCATCACACAATCTTAGATTCATCTATTCAACCAACACAAAGAACTTCAAAGAGTGCCCCAAACTTTCTACCAGAGAGTCAAGATGAAATCGTGTGCCAACCCATATGCATAAGTTCACGAGGTCACGGAACTCGCAAGTTGATCACCAAAACATACATCAAGTGGATCACGGGAATATCCCATTGTCACCACAGAAAAGCACATGCAAGACATACATCAAGTGTTTTCAAATCCTTAAAGACTCAATCCGATAAGATAACTTCAAAGGGAAAACTCAATCCATTACAAGAGAGTAGAGGGGGAGAAACACCATAAGATCGAACTATAATAGCAAAGCTCGCGATACATCAAGATCGTGCCATATCAAGAACACGGGAGAGAGAGAGAGAGAGAAAGATCAAACACATAGCTACTGGTACATACCCTCAGCCCCGAGGGTGAACTACTCCCTCCTCGTCATGGAGAGCGCCGGGATGATGAAGGTGGCCACCGGTGATGGATTCCCCCCTCCGGCAGGGTGTCGGAACAGGGTCCCGATTGGTTTTTGGTGGCTACAGAGGCTTGCGGCGGCGGAACTCCCGATCTAGGTTTCTTTTCGGGGGTTTATGTATTTATAGGAATTTTTTGCGTCAGTCTCACATCAGGGGGGGGGGGTCTTCGAGTCATCCACGAGATAGAGGGGCGAGCCCAGGGGGTAGGGCGCGCCCTCCACCCTCGTGGATGGCTCGGGACTCTTCTGGCCCAACTCTTTTACTTCGGGAGCTTCTTTTGGTCCATAAAAAATCATCAAAAATTGTCACGTCAATTGGACTCTGTTTGGTATTCTTTTTCTGTAAAACTCAAAAACAAGAGAAAAACAGAAACTGGCACTGTGCTCTAGGTTAATAGGTTAGTCCCCAAGATCATATAAAATAGCATATAAAACATCCAAGATGGATAATATAATAGCATGAAACAATCAAAAATTATAGATACATTGGAGACGTATCAGTACTATTTTATTTTCTCTTTTGACCTTGTTGTACGTGGGTTTCCTCGCCACTTTGTATCGGTTCGACCGGTTGTGCCTTTATTTATAAAGGGGGACAAAGGCCTGTCTCGAGAAAGGCTGCGGAGAAAGATGCTGCTTTGTCTTCTTGCAAGGAGAGTGTGGTTAAGAAAACATGACAACTATGAGGAGAAATGAAGTAGGAGAGAGGATATATTTGTTATTCTATATACCAAAGAGAGTCATCCTCAATAACTTATTTATCTCAACATGCATGCAAGTATGCCACCTTACCATATAATTATGAATGGGATAAGGCCCACATCAACATGCAATCATGCATGAGAAACGACTCACCACAACATTCAGCCATGCATGGAAAAATGTTTATCATTCAACTAATATATTTATGTTCAATAAATTGTTACAACTATACATGATAAGTCGTATGCATTTTAAACTTTGGTTCTCACATTATCAACTAAATTTCCATTAACCAATTCTCGTAGCAGCGCAGGGTATCGTCTAGTTTTTATTATTCCTTCGCAACTTACTGGTATTCAATTAGTATGCATAGGTGGAGTCCTACTGGAACACACATGACAAATTTATTATATAATCAAATCAAGAGCAAAGTTTGACAACTATACAAATATTCTCTCTGGAGAACTGAAAAAAATAGTCATATCCTATCTCGTGTGTATTCTGTATGTATCCACCTTTTATGTGTTTCTCCGTAATCTCAGCGGAACGTTCCACCGAGCTCCCAAACAGGGACTTGGTCTTTCGGTGGTTGGGTCTCGGTAGTGTGACATCGGAAGGCCAGTGCCAAGAGACGACTTTGGATTTGGGAATGTGACAGCGAAAGCACGAGAAGACGCGTCAATATTATTTTATTTTGACCAAAAGCGCTTGCGCCAATTTGTGGTGCAGTGCTTGATTTGTTGCTACGTGCATTATAGAGAGAAAGATATCGAATTCTGGTAGGGCCTAGACACGGTTGCGCCAGTTTGTGGTTGGAAACTTGGATGTGCTATGGCCCCTTTGGATGGAAAGAGGTAGTACGTTCCATTGTCATCGCCGCCTCCCTCGCAACCCAGGCCATCGATCGTTCTACACAACTGTTACGCCGCCCAGCTGCCGTGGTATGTATCCGTAGCTTAACTTCTTCCTTTCTTTCTCTTGATTTCTTGACATGGATTGCCTCAACTTGTACCGAGTTGGTTCCGCCTTAATTTTGGTAGGCTCTGCTTGTCTGCTTCCTTCGAAATAAATTGGTCAACAGTCTCATAGTTAGGGCCTCTCAAGTTTTAAGAAAAAGTATATCAATTTTGGAGGATCAAAACTGGTTTCGAGAGTTTTCTACGAGGATTCGTTTGGTTTGCTGGATTGTATCCCGTAAATATTTCTTTCTAAGGAGTGGCGATTCCGGTATGCAGCATCCACAGAAAAGTTTCCATTGACCTTTTCTTTGCAGGGAAAAGCTTCCATTGACCTTAATTATATGGAAAATTTATTTGTTTCTATGACAATTCACGTACACGTCAGTCTTCTTTATAGAAAACAATCCCTGCTTCATATTTGAGGGACTTTTTGGGTTCAGAAACTATTTCCATACGAAGTTTGGAGGGTTCTATTCCTTAGATAATTTCCTCACATATGACACTTGTTGGTGTTTGTAGGATTGAAATCCATATGGTTTTCTCCTATGATCTACTCCCTCCGTCCAAAAATACTTGTCATTAGTTTTAGTTCAAATTTGAACTAAAACCACGACAAGTATTTTGAAACGGAGGGAGTACTTTATGTGCAATTTCAGAGGCGACTCCCATTTAATCAAACCTCATTGAAAATTCTTTGCTTAAACAATAACTATAGCATAGATATGATCCTTCAAAAGAAATCATGTGTTTTTCATGCGGCGCAACCAAACAATTTCTATTGCACATTTCCGTGGTTTCCCTTCATGTTGTAGTCAACAATGGCAATTCCTCCGATTTTCCTATTTCTAGTGTTTTTGTGTGTTTTCCTTTTTTTTCTTTTTTTCTTTTTGGCAAAAATTGTGCGTTTTCCTTTGAAAGTCCTTTTTGGCTTGCTGGATTTGAAAGCATAAGAAATGCAAACAAACACATTAATATGGTAGAAATACATGTGCAAAAAGAAGACTACAAACACAAATGAATTTTGTAAACTTGGGAGTTTGATCTACATGGAAAGAAAAAAACATACACATTGTAATAAACAAGTCAAACTGCTTGGTAAAAGTTATCAGTATGTGCGATGTTGGTATGCCACTAAAGAATTTGGTCTCGTTCTTTGTGCATAAGAATTCTAAAAAGAGGTTCGAATGGATTTAAGATTTTTCACGTTTTCCTTTAAGGAGATTGGTTTTTCTACATCCCAGTTCGGCGCACCACGCAAGAAAACATAGCAAACCATTTCAAAAAAAAATCTTAAACTTTGTGGGAATGACTATGAACAAATGTTAGAGCTGCTTGCAAATTTTAGTGGTCAAATGACATTTGAGGAGCTCTGTACAAAAAAAATACACAAAATGTATGTGCACTGTTTAAGCAAAATTTGTAAAAAAAAATGTACAATGATCCTGGGATGTCATTTCACCACAAAACTTTGCAAGCACTTCTAACATTTGTTCATAGTCATTCCCACAAAATTTCAGACTTTTCCTAAATGTTTTGCTATATTATCTTGCATGGGTGAACCGAACTAGGGTGTAGAAAAACCATTCACTTTCCTTTGAAACCGATATGAAAGAAAATGGTCCTCCTTTTTTTTTATCCATTCATTTGAACATAATAAATAAATTAATAGTGCCACCAAAGTAAAATTTCCTACTCGAATATTTCTCCGCCACTTTTTCCCACGTACCAAAGAGGCCCTTAGGTGCCACGACATCCAATTCCTATATTTTCCCATTCATGTATTCTTTTTTTTTTGAGGAACCCATTGGAATTTCGCGAATCAAGATGCTCCCGGTGGGTGCACTAACACTTCGCCAAATACAATTAATTAGAGTTTGACTACATAGAAAATAAATTAATCTCCAACACTTTTGCATGTAGCCTGCGGGTTAGTGCAGATCACATAAGGCCTTATACAATGCAAGGTGCTTAGGAGAGGTGATTGGAGAAATAAATCAGGCTTTTCTTAAGCACCAGTGCCTATTTGTACAGACAGACGCTTAATTAGGTGTCTCTCTTGTAGAAATAGGCACCGGTGCTTCAGAAGAAGCCTGTTTATTTTTCTAAGCACCTCCCTAAGCACCTAGCATTGTACAAGGTAAGCGTCTGCCATATACAAATAGGCACCGGTGCTTAAGAAAAGCCTGATTTATTTCTTCAAGCACCTCCCTAAACACCTTGCATTGTACAAGGCCTAAGTTGAACTGTGAATGTGTTATTGTTGCAGAAACATCTATACTGGAAACTGCTAACTGGGTACTTGGAGAAAAAGAAAACTTTGCTAAGTGGTCACTCCCAGTATTCTCTACACAATCAGCGAAAGAAAAAATATTACTTCATGCATAAAGCACAAGTTTGAAAAAGTAAACTACAACTCTGCAAAACAAATTGCATAATTAGATCATCAGGTTCACATTGAAAAAACAGATCGGTGGCTAGTATCAAACCAACCAGTAATCACCAGGTTTAATGTTTGCCTTTTGAATTCAAAATATATAGTAATTTGTTCCCATAACTATATAATTAGTACAGTGAATTTACTTGTTTGGAACAGGTGGCAGGTCAGAAAACTTTACTTGGAGATCAGCTACATAACCCTTGTTCACATAATGGAGCGCTTTGAGGACATGATTAGAGAATTCATCAAAAGCAACGAAAGGGCAAAGTGGAGACCAGTGAACAATCCTGGTATAAATAACTTCACAGAAGATGAGATTAAAATGATTACGAAGAACTACAAAAATCCCATAGGCAAAGGTGCCTTTGGAGAAGTTTACCGAGGCGTTCTTGATGATGGTAGTACAGTTGCAGTCAAGAAATATATCTGCCAGAATTTGAAAGACGGGTTTGCTAAGGAGATATCTGTTCATTGCCGAATCAGCCACAAGAATGTTGTTAGGCTCTTGGGCTACTGTTTAGAAGAAAATGTTTTAATGATTGTCACCGAGTATATCCCTGGAGGAAACCTCAAAGGTCTTCTCCATGGCAGCGATGATCACATTTCTTTGGATGCAAGGTTGGGTATTGCTATAGACTGTGCTGAGGCATTAGCATGCATGCATTCATTGCATCAATCAATCATTCATGGTGATATCAAGCCTGACAACATACTTCTAGATGAGAACTTGGGTGCAAAATTATCCGACTTTGGAATATCAAGGTTGCTTTGCAAGGACGGAACTGCTTACACCATGCACGTTGCAGGAAGCAGAGGTTACATGGATCCAGAGCTCTTTGAAACTGGACGGGTCGATCCTAGAAAATGATGTTTACAGTTTCGGGGTTGTTACGGTAGAGCTTGTTACCAGGGCAAAGGTAAATGAGAATGGGATGAGTACCGGAGTCACGAGAAACTTCACTCAAGTTATGGAAAAGGAGAAAACAGCAAGAGCGATGTTTGATACTAAAATAGCAAAGGTGAGCAACATGAAAGTTCTGTACAAGATAGGAAAGCTTGCAGCTGAATGTCTCAGAAGGGATATAAAAAAACGCCCTGAAATGAAAGATGTTACAGAACGTCTACGGGCTCTTAGAAAAGCTTACTGCCAGCAAGATCAAGAAAAAACAGGTCAGTGGTCGATGTACTACAAGCTGAAATATTTGGGCATGTTTAGTACTTGGAATGCACCCCGGAATTTCATGAGGAACGCAGGTCAAATAGTAGAGCAAACGCAAAAACTGAGGGTTTTCACAAGAGAAGAAATAAGAAAAATCACCAATGGTTATTCATCAGATGTGATTGCCAAGTGTTCATCTTGTGAGGTCTACAGAGGGACACTTGAGGACAACACATTGGTGGCAGTGAATATAGAGACCAGCATGATGGTAGATGAAGCCCATAGTAAATCCTTTACAAATAGCATGCTCATCTATTCTATCATTCTCCACAATAACATGATCAAACTGTTGGGTTATCACTTGGAGGCGGATGTCCCAATATTGGTGCATGAGTTTGCTGCAAATGGGAATCTCCAAGACATCCTTCGTGGCAACTACAGCTTCCCACTTGGTATACGTCTAGATATCGCAGTTGGTTGCACGGAAGCGTTAGCATATCTGCATTCACAATCCTTTGCATTTGTGGGTGCTAACATCACACCCGCCAACATACTGCTAGATGACAGTTTGGTACCGAAGGTCTCAGGGCCTCTCTTCATATGTGACAGCATCACTAGCACATCAGGCGATGTTTACAGTTTTGGAACTCTCCTTTTGGAACTTATAACCAGAAAACAAGGAGGGTATCGCAGCAACAGCCCGCAGGAACTTAGGAAAGCTTACATGAAAAAAGGGCACACCATGTTTGACAAGGAGATAGCCACGAAGGCGGACATGTTCATACTTGAAAGGATCCAGATGGTGGCAATGGACTGTTTGAAACTGGATGAATTGGCGCGACCGATAATGGCAGAGGTGGCAGAGCGGCTTCAGAGGCTTAAAAATGTCGAAAGCATGGGAAGCGAACTGCGGGAGCTCTCGATGCTGAGGAGGTTGGTAGCTTCCAGTATCAGGAAAGCTAGAGAAAACACTGCCCCGGCCGCCTGAGCAGAAACATGGAATTTGTGATCATTCATTTTTGCAATTTACTACTCCACGCTCTTGTACGTGTGTGTATCGTACTGCCAATTTGGCTTACTGTTTCTATAAGGCCGGCATTGAGAGTTTCCCTTCCAGCAATAGTCTCGCGCTAAGTAGCCGAGGCTCGCTTGGGAGCCCCCTGGCTTGCATAAAATCAACCTCGGGAAAAATAACACCCTTTCAGTACTCTTGCAGACAAGCAATTTGGATTTGTCAAGAAACGCCAACCATGTTTTCCAAGTAAAGCAAGGTTAAACAGATGCAAGTCTCCCAATCCCATGCCACATTTGCATTTCGGAGTTGCTGGGTTGCTCCAGGACACCCAGTGCACTGATTTCTTGTCAAGTGAGCTGCTCCAAAAATATTTCGCCATGGGAAGTTAAGACTCTTACAAACCTCTTTTGTTAACAGGGACATACTCATAGGGTACAGCGGAATTGCCTGAATGGCCAATTTCAGAAAAAATTCCTGGCCAGCACAAGCTAGCAGTATCACAGGTGTGGTCGAACGTGCCACTAGTAATACGACCCACTGTTGTAGGAAGGCCCAAGTATCTCTCGTTGAAGGCCTCCGGGAATACTGACTTCCTCACTGCCCCAATCCCAGTGTCACGCACTCTCGTCCATTCACAGCAACTCGCACTCCTTAACAGCTCCAGCATCGCCACAGCACACTTACATACAGCATTATTCATACCAGCCTAGACGTCACATATGCTCACGAGGACGCTTGTACAGGACAGTCTCCTCCTCGAGCTCAGCCTGGGCCCCGCTCACCAGAACCCAGACCTCAGAGATCTTCTCGACGGTGCCGTCGAAGAGGTCGACAGTGGTGAACGCACGTGAGGTGGGCCCCACGGATCCCGATTCTTGGAGCTCATCTCTTTCGCCGGTGGAGATCATGGAGGGGCTCATTGCTTCTGCAGGATTCACCCTAGGCACGACCGCTCCGTTCAGATATATGGTCTGGTTGTTGGCTCCGAAGGCGATCATCTTTCGGAGTCCTACCCCGTAGGCTAGGCTCTTGTGCATGTGCCCGAACACGACCAGCGGGATCGAAACCCTGGTCTCCCTTTGCAGGTCGGATATCGCTTGTTCCAGATCTGCAGGAGTTGCCATATGAAGCAGCCGTTTCAGAAAAGGTTAGCTAAATGGGGAGTATCGTCATGAATACCGGACCTGGATCGCCATGATCGCCACCGCCAGCTACCCAATCCCGCCCGCAGATATCATCGATCCTTGAACCTAGACCTGCGTGTAGGCATGATGAAAGGTAAGCTTTTAGGAAATGAGAAGTCTATACAACTAGATTATTCGAATGTTCAGAGACCTGTTGGTCCATTATGTGCAAGTAGTATCACAGAATGCTCCTCTGGTGCAGCCGTAGCAGCATCGTATATCTTCCTCGCACTTCCTGCCATATCATCGACACCATACCTACATGAATGGTTGCAGCCAACCAACGAGCGATGAATTATAAGTTACAGTTATGACTTATGAACAACAACAGAAGTTCTTCACAGAAGGGAGAGGACAAAAGCAAGAATGGCCTGTGATGCACTTCCCATATAAGGCAGACTAAGAAGCTGTAGGAATGGCCAAATGGCAGTCAATTAGCTACCACATCTCCCCAGGGGGAGAGAAAGTTAACTACCACATCTCGTAGGTGTATCATCATGTGTTAATCTTACCATCTATAGAGTGTCAACAAAATGGGCAAACAGCAAAGAGGTGAAAATAGTTCTAGTGAAACTTTTGGAGGCTGGGCTGTATTAATCCTAGCGGTCAGTGAATGCAGAGTGCAGACTAATAAGTTAGTTCAATAACCAAAACAGTAAGGAACCAATTACTCTACACATCTGGTCTGGTGTCCTCGTCTTCTTATGATGATTTCAGATTTTGAAATATACAACATATTACCCTTAGGCCTTAGATCCTTATAAGCGCACCAACATGCGTGCACTAATATTTTTACTGCCTAACACAAGTAGCCAAGCACAGGATAACAAACTAGCCTCGTGATACAATTAGGATAATCGCGAATAAACTATGAAACCTTTAAGCTTGACATCGGGATTTATTTTTCCGAATCATGCAGGAGGGTGACATCCAGATGTTTATCTACTAGCAAATACAGCAATACCTTTTGGATAAATAATTCATTAATACTTGACATGAGAAGGAAATAAATATGATATCTGCCACTCTGGTCATTGTATTACCAAGCCATTACTACACAAGCTCACATGACAGCTTTAAAAACATAATTCAGAAATAGCAGAAGTGAAGGACAAGATTTTAGAAACAAATTCATGACAAGGATATACCTAACAGAACAGTTGAGAAACCTAGATATCTATTGGTTAGTACATCTCTTACCAACCGTTGTGACAGAAGCTTTGGTCTAAATAACCTGTCACCCCCACAAGAAAATGGTCGCCCACCAACAACACTCAGCTTTATTGTTGGAAAATCCAAACATTGATATCCAACATGCTGCTGACCAAGGCTGATATTCACAAGAAAAAAAATATCAGTGGCCGCATTTCCTGCACAAAGGGTATCATAGTCTGCTTAAGACAGCTAATAAACCAGACTCATCCTGCACTTCTAGCACTGCGAACTACAAAAGCCAAATTAGGCTGAGAATTAGTTAACCTTTATCTCTTTAGCGGTCCCTAATCACAGTTTACTTGATTCAATCCCTCTTAAATTTAAGTATCATGCCAACTTAGTTCTTTGCTTTTAAATAAAAAGGGAAACACCTAACGAAATGTCCTAGCAGCAAATGCAGCTCGTAGCAAATTAAAGGATCTTACCTTTCAAGCTGAAGACGGACACGATCTACCTTCCTGGGTACCAATCAAGTACACAAGGATTTTAGAATAGCTAAGTGCAGTACTGCAGTTAATTAAATTTTCAACTTACTAAATGAAAATATGACTCATACTTCTCTGAAAATTGATGTGTGCGCCAGCAATCATGATTACCAAGAATTGCCGCCTTCGGAAACTGAAGATCTGAAATGCTTTTGACAAGTTGAACATTCTCGTTGCCATAATCACCTGCCACAAATAGAGGAGAACAAACAGGAGATGACAAACAATAAGCACATTGCATGCACTTCAACAACGAAAATGAAATTAGCAAATCATAATGCAGAAATAGCAAGGAAGAATACCTGTGAAAAGCACCAGATCTGGCTGCATTTCAAATATAAAAAGTTAGAGCTTCTGACAACAACAAAATCTGGACTGAGAATTATGTGTAGTATGAATTTTTCTTTCAAAGTGCAATGCCCATATTGTAAATGGAACACATGTAACATGATTAAGAATGAATGGCTGGAGGCCAGCGCATTACAAACAGACAGGACACGTGCATTGTAGAACAAGGGAGAAGTTACAACAATGAAATAGACATGATGAGATATCCAAATACAACAGACTGGATCCATATAAATGTGCAATGCCTGAAGAAAATGGAGTGCCTTTGTATCTTCATCAAGGATCCAATCATCGTGCTGCAATGTCCAATGCATAACATCCAATTAATACCCTATTCTTGTTATGTGGATTTCAGGGGATACATGATAACAATATATCTATTTTCTATACTTTGATGGTTTAGTGTAGCCAAACTTAAGAAGGTGAAAGTTAACAGTTCCTCCCCTTTCAGAGAAATAAGGGCTAGCAACTCCTTGTGTAAAGCACATCCACTCTTGGTTCATATAGACGCCAGAATCCTGAATGAAGCAACTCATCGTCCTATATGACCCATCTAAACTAAGATCAAATGCACCTTAGATGCACACCACTCGCAATTCGCAAACAAAAATAGATATCGTTGAACCTGAATCCCCCTTGTTGCCCCCAAATCGGAGCCTAACTGAATTAACCAGGTCAAGGAGCAGAGACTTCGGTGCACAATCCCCACCTCCGCCCTGCTCAGAACCCACTACGCGTACGAACCCCATGAAGAACCACAACGCCACGCCAGAACTATCCATGCCAGTTTCCACGACCCGAACCACGCCCGCGAGGAAATAGAGGGTTAAACGGTTTTATTTAACTTTTAATAAGAGGGGGGAGGGAGGGAGAGTACCACATCGCCGACGACCGCGAGGCGGACGCGGCCGGCTCCGGCGCCGGCGCCGGAGGAGGCCATGGACCTGGACCCGGGCTTGGGCGGCGGCGTGGCCGGGGAGGAGGGGAGAGGAGGAGGATTCGCGGGGGCGCGCGCGGCTACTGCTGCTGCTCCCGCCGCCGACCAAGAAGAAAGGGAGCACGACCGCACGAACATTTTGTTTCGGGTCGTATTGGGTGCGTGCCAGGCTGCCAGCTGCCCTGCGGTAGGTGCACGGTGCATACGCGCGCGAGCACGGTGGCTCACCTGGTTGTCAATGTTTTTTAAGGAACTAGACGATGCCTCCCACGTTGTGTTGTTACGGAAATATTTTACAATATATTTCTAAGATATTAATAATTTTATGGAAATAAGAATATTTGGATAAATAATATATGAGCTAAAACTAAAAATACATATTGTTATTTGTGATTGATTATTGTATTTTGTAAAATATTTATTAAATATATCATGCATGTTTGCATGTTGAAGTGAATCTTTTCCTATGACTCATTGAATGTTGAAGTGGGTCTTTTCTAATGCATATTGCTTGATGAGGTGTCATGCTTGCATGTTGAGAGAAATAGGTTAGTGGGGCTACGTTGTGTTGTTACGGGAATATTTTGCAATAATTTTATGGAAATAAGAATATTTGGATAAATAATATGTGAGCTAAAACTAAAAATACATATTGTTATTTGTGATTGATTATTGTATTTTGTAAAATATTTATTAAATATATCATGCATGTTTGCATGTTGAAGTGAATCTTTTCCTATGACTCATTGAATGTTGAAGTGGGTCTTTTCTAATGCATATTGCTTGATGAGGTGGCATGCTTGCATGTTGAGAGAAATAGGTTAGTGGGGGCTAGCTATTTAGATATAGAAGATATACATCATGAAAAGAAAAGGTGGTGCTCAAAAAAAAGAAAAAAGAAAATGTTGTGTCTGCTAAAAAAAGAAAAAAGAAAAGGAATATACAATGTAAGTACTGACACAAACGTTCATATATACGCACATACACTGTAACACCCCGGATATGATTTTCCCAATATGTTATCCAATTCTTGCCGTTTCCGGCGTTAAGTTATTTTATTTTCTCGGGTTCGGGTTTTTGTCTCCGTGTGTTGTTATCATTGTCATGCATCTCATATCATGTCATCATGTGCATTGCATTGGCATACATGTTCATCTCATGCTTTCGAGCATTTTCCCCGTTGTCCGTTTTGCATTCCGGCGCTTCGTTCTCCTCCAGTGGTCATTTCTACCTTTCTTTCGTGTGTGGGGATTAAACATTTCCGGATTGGACCGAGACTTGCCAAGCGGCGTTGGTTTACTACCGGTAGACCGTCTGTCAAGTTTCGTACCATTTGGACTTCGTTTGATACTCCAACGGTTAACCGAGGGACCGAAAAGGCCTCATGTGTGTTGCAGCCCAATACCCCTCCATTTTGGCCCAAAACCCACCAAAACCATCTCCATCATCTAGAGCGTTCGATCACGATCGCGTGGCCGAAAACCGCACCTCATTTGGACTCTCCTAGCTCCCTCAATGCCTATATAAAGACCCCTCCTCGAAAATCCCGGATCCCCTCCATCCCTAACCCTAGATCCACCCCTCGCGCCGCGCCGGACACGTCCGGTCCGGCCGGACACGTCCGCCCGATCCGCCGCCGCCAATCCCGCGCTGCCACGTGGCGGGAACTGCCCCACATCACCGCTTCCGCCGCCGGCCCGCCGCGGCCCGCAGCGGGCCCCCGAGGCCCG